TTTCTACCTCCTACTCCTCACTCCTCAATAGAAAGGAAATCCGGGTATTTATACCCTTTACCACGTGACTTGCCCTCGTGGACAATCTCAACTGAAGCCACTACGTCACGTGCCTTGTAGCCATGGATACCAGGAGCACCTGGCAGCTGGGGGCACTAAACAGTGTAACAAGATGTTTATCAGAGTGCGCTCAGCTATTGCAGGCTGTTGAAACAAGTCTCTTGTCAGGGTATATGGCTCAAGATGGCTGTAAAGATGATAGCCACTTTCGGCTAAGAGTCGGCTCCCAACAATTCCCCATGCCGGGCAGAGCCCCGCTGTGCTTGCCTGATGTTGCAGGGAATAAACTCAGCCAAGATCCCGTGTGCTCCTGCCATGCTGAGCTACAATCCCAGCCTACTGCGTCATGGCAGACGCACGGACCCACAACGCAACAGAGACTCATGCCCATGCATGCCCATGCATGGGCCTACATCATTCCCTACAGGTGGTAGAGGATTCAGGCAAAGCCAGCTCCAAGAGTACCTCCCCCCACACTGGTGCCCACCAAGAACCTCTCCATGGAACTGTGAGTAACTCCAGCCTAGTTTACAAGACTAGGCAGGTCTCTCTCTGTCTCCCTTCCTCTCTCTTTCTCTCTCCAAGTGTTTCAGGCCAGCATTTTCTCTCTGACTCTTAGCTACCACTAGCTCCTGCCTGGCTCAAAAGACTAGGTCTATCTCTTTCTCCCTCTCCTCCACGTGTTCTGCCGTTCAAGGACAAGATGGTGGCAGCTCCCTAGCCTCCACTCTGCCCATCCCCCAGCTCCACAGAGAGGGTTCCTTCACAGCTAATAGCTGTTTCAAGCCACAGCGCCTGCTGTGAATTGTTTTGAGCACTCCGGAGTGCCTACTTCAGTCTTTCAAGTGCTGCCTGCTCCAACTCAACAAGATGGCAGCAATTCCCCTAATCTCTGTGCTCTGCCCCTCCCCCAGGGTTCAGCCTTTTGCGCTCTGCCTGCTAGCTTCTCAGGAGCAATGGCTCTAAACTCTAGTCCTCAGTGATTTTTTCCCCCAGGGGTCAGTTTTTCACAGGCTGTCTGCTAGCCTAGTGTAGACTTCCCCCACTCCACCATTTGTGACCGGCTGGTTAAAGCCCAGCCAGCTTACCTGAAGCAACAGGGCTGGCTCCCTGCTTGCCCCCTTCCCCACTTCACCTTCTAGGTCATTTGCGGCCAGCTATAGCCCAGCTGGCTTGCCTGACAGAAGGTCTGAGACTCAGTCTGCTCTCTTTGCCCCTGTGTACACAGCCTTTCACTCCTTCTGACTCTCCTATCAAACGTCTATGTTTCTTGCTTTGAGCTTTTCTTCAAGGTTGGCCTTTTTCTCCTCTACATTTAGGATTCCTAAGAAAAACAAATGGAGAATTCTTTGGCCACTCTGCTAGAGCACCCAGCCACCACATGGTAGCCCGGCCACCACATGGCAGAGCAGGCCCCTACTCTTCTACTTCTAAATCTTCCATTAATGCCTTTTCTCCCAACAGGAATGCCTAAAACAACAGTGTTTGTGCTTTTCAACCCAAAATTTTTTGCTTTTTGTTTAAACGTCTCCTTTTCTCTCTAACACTCATGATATATTCCCAACTTTTTTTTTTAATTTTTAAGATTTCTTCAAGGTTCAAAAGTCATCTAGATCTACTTCCACAAGTTAAATCAACTATGAGATCACCATTTTTCAAATCTTAATTAACAACTAGTTTCCTTTTACAGACAAACTGTGCCTGCCTACATAATTAATATGATGTTTTTCTTCCTCCAAAACAGACTTACAGGTGACTTCTAAGAGTAGAATTTCCTCAAACACCTTTGCCTTTCTAGGATCTCAACGGCACACCATGACATGCCTGGTCCCAAGTAGCCTAATGCTTACTACACACCCTTTGCACACACACACCCCTGCCTGGGTGCTGCTTCCCTGTTGTAATTATTCTACAGGTGCTCCCACAAGTCCAGCAGAGACAATGCCACCTCCTGGAACCTGCCTAGGATGCCATGCTGTCTTCTTGCAGCCACAGCACCTGACTGCAGATTCCAGAGACACGCTGAGATCCAGAGACACAGGCTGAACTCTAGACACACGCCAAGATCCAGAGACGCTCACTGAGTCCTACAGACAGATTCAGACCTTCCAGCTACAGTTGAACTCTTTTGTCAAAGTCAAATAGCTAAAGTTACATGTTAGTAAGGAAAATATAATGCCTATTTAGATTAGTCAGCTGTCATTACCCTCAAACTGTATCACCTGCGTTCAATTGATTCAATGATCCCTTGCCTTCCCAACACCCCCCTCAACTCCCCTTATCCTGTGACTTAATTTTGCTAACCCCTCTGGCCTACATAGTGCTTTATTTTGGCTTCCTCATCCATAATTTTCACCACAGACGACACAGTGACCCCCCCTTTTTTTAAAAAAAAAAGTAAAGGGGAGGAGATGTGGGACAACGTAAGGGTATTCTGGTTCATGGCTGAGCAGGTGCCTAGAACCCCGAGACTCTGCGGGAGAACCAGCAGGAGTTTGGCACACCCCCAGAACCCAGGGTCCTGAAAAGCAGTCTAGTCTCCATATAATTACATTGTTCAGTCACATAGGCCGACCATTACAGCTCCTCCCAAAGTGCACAGGTACAGGGTGTGACTAGAGGCCCCAGGCCCTAGGGATTTACATACTAATGAAGGCCAGAGGGTGGAGCAAATTAAGCATGCCTCCCCAGATCCTCCCCAGATCCTCCCCCTTTCTCCCTCCCTATATAACTCGGGACTGCCCTGAGTTTTACAGGGGTACTTCCAGATTCACCCACCATCTGCCATGACAATAAACCCTTTTGGAACCAAGGACTTCCTCGTGTTATTGGGGCCTGCTGCCACCAAAGCCTCAGGCCACTGGAACCATAGACATTCCTCCTGCATGTGGGATCCACTGCAGAGTGGAAGCCTCTGGGACTCCACAGCTGCAGCCCCCCTCTATTTTTTCCCCACACACATGCACGTGCATGTGCACTTGTGTGTGTTCTATTATATTCTGTTTCCTCTAAAGACTCCCAACTAATGTCTTCATATGCTTAACCAACCTGTCTCCCACCAATAAAACCAACTTGGACATTGTATAATTTTGATGTGATCTTGAATTCAGATCACAAGTGGTTTGTGACTTTTTTGAGTCTATGTTCACCAGAAAAATTGGTCTGCAGCTCTTCCTTACTAGATAATGAAATATAAAAACAGTAATTAAATACTTATACATACCTTTTCTGATGACTTGTTACATAACTAAAAATGTTACTCCCTCTCAAAAAGTCTACTTCATTTTCTATATATTTTATATCATGGTCTTCTACACTTTTAGAAAAATGTTTCCTAAGCTTAAGATACTCTATAACATAGCTATGTGAACCTAAAAAATTCCATTGTGATACTCTATCTTTTGATGCAGTTATAAATATGAACTGAAATACCTTACTGTCTTTCAAGCAATATGTGTGTGTGTGTTCACATATGTGCCACATCATGTGAATGCAGGCCAGAGAACAAATCATAGGTTCCCATGTGGGACCCTTGGATCAACCTCAGGTCATCTGGCTGGACAGCAAGTGTGTTTACCTGCTGGACCATCTCACAGATCTCTTATTTCTTTTGCACATAGAAAATATAGTACTGATGCTAAAATTCCTTGCCAGGGGAAATGTAAGCAATGTCTCCACTTTCTTCTAATGTTCCAAGGTTTAGCAAATGAAGATACAAGTTTGCCAAAGTTCACTATGCAAATTAGTTTATTGAGCTTACAAAGCATAGGTAAAGAGTAACTTACAGGAGTGTGGATGTTCCTCCTCTAATAGGCTGCATCTGAAGAGCATTACCCAGCAGGAATGAGGTATCCTGTAATAGCTATTCCTGGTTGTCAACTTGACTACATCTGGAATGAACTACAACCCAGAAATGGAGGGCATACCAGATATTGAGACTGGAAGACACAAGTTTCTGATCTGGATCTTGACATGGAGATCTTGAGCTATAGTAGCCATGAAAAGCTTAGGCCCAAGCAAGGAAGTACATGCTTTAATCCCAAGAGACTGAGGCAAGCAGATCTCTGAGTTCGATCTCAGTCTGGAACAAAGCAAGTTCCAGAACCAGGCAAGGTGGTACATACCTTTAATCTAGGCTACACCTTCTTCTGGAGGCCTACATAAAGGCATTGGAAGAAGGAAGATTCACTCTTGCCTGCTTGCACTTACTTGCCAACACATCTGTTGGAACCTACCTCTTCAGAATTCGACCTTATATGGCAGACCAGGTGAAACAGCTAGTTTTGAGGACTGAGAAACTCCTAGGCTTTTGAATTTGCCATTCACAGGTGCCTATTGGTGGGTTAGTTGGACTACAGACTGTAAATCATTACAATAAATTCTATTAGTAATATAAAGATATTCCATAAGGTCTGTGACTATAGAGAACCCTGACTAACACACACCTATAGCCCCATGGATGGGGATTCCTCCCCTAGTCTTCTGGCCTATATACTGTAACCCCTCCCTGAGTCCATGTTGCATACAAGTGGCAGGGAGCACCTGGATACTCAAGTAGGGTCTGTGGCACTTGTACTCCTCCATGAGAGGGTATAAACAGTAAACAATCTCAGATAAGATGATATTTTGCAAGAGGGTGCAGTCGAATGTCCCAAGACAGCAGTTGCTTGGCTCAAGGACAAGTCTTTCATGGCAAGTAATAAGCCATGAAGTCTATCAAGCAAATATGGATAGCATGAGAGAGAAACCATCTTTAGCTGAGGATGCCAATATGAAGAAGACAAATAAAAAGGACAGAAACTAAATAAGAAATTCTGTTACAGACTAACAAAAGCTCAGATATGTACACTTAGGGTTCAATATGCCAACTCTTCATTTTATTTCCAAATATCACAAGCAGGTTTTAAGTCAAATATAACTAGCAACAACTGTGTGGTGAAAGGATTGTTGATTACAGGTAAGCAAGGTTACATATCAGAAGAGAAAACTAGTGGCTGCCGCTTTCTTCCTATGGCCTTCACAGCCTCTTTGATGTCCTTATTCCTCAGTGTATAAATTACAGGATTCAGCATGGGCGTGACAACACTATACAGCACTGAGATCAATCTGTCTTTCTCTAGCGAGTAAGATGAGATGGGTCTTACATATGTGAAGATGGCACTGCCGTAATAGAGAATAACAATGAGCAGGTGGGAGGCACAGGTGGAAAAGGCTTTGTGCCTCCCCTCAGAGGAGTGGATCCTCAGGATGGTAGAGATGATGTAAAGGTAGGAAAGGATGATGCACAGGAAAGGAGTCCAACCTATGAGGATCCCAATGGACAGCAAAGCCAGTTCATTGAGGGCAGTATCACCACAAGACAAGATCAACAAGGGAGGTATGTCACAGAAAAAATAATTGATCTGATTGTTACCACAGAAGGGCAGGCGGAAGGTCAGAACTGTGTGCACCACAGAGTTGAGAAACCCACCTGTCCAGCATGAGGCTGCTAACCAGATGCACAGGGCCTTGTTCATAATTAATGAATACCTTAAGGGCTTACAGATAGCAATGTATCGGTCATATGCCATTGCTGCCAGGAGGAGACATTCTGAGCCAACAAAGAAAATGAATGCAAAGAGCTGGGTCACACAGCCTCCATAGGAAATGGTTTTCTTCTCTGACAGAAGATGCGCCATCATCTGGGGGACGTTAGTAGTAGTATAGCAAATGTCTATAAAGGCAAGATTTCCTAGGAAAAAATACATGGGTGTGTGTAGGTGGGAGTCACTCATGGTCACCACGATTATAAAAACATTGCCTCCTAAAGTACATATGTAAGTCAGAAAGAAGATGGTGAAGAGTAAAAACTGAAATTCATTCAGGTGGGAGAATCCTAAGATGATGAATTCAGATGGAGCTGTTTGATTCTTTCCTTCCATGATGTCAGCTGGTTTCTCTTTGTGAATTTGACAAATGGGTGCATTGATAATAGTCTGCAAAACAAGAAGGCAAGTGCTAGTACCAATAATGTCACCACCAACTACATTGGATACCAAACCACAAATGAAGCACTTCTTTGCAAGACACAACCCATACCTGCTGCTCAAGATATATGTACATGTTCCCAGTGTTTTTTTATCCCGGAATCAAGTCCCTGTGGAATATACAATGGTAACATTTTAAACTGAGAAAAATCACAGGAGGACTCTTATCTTCTAAGGCTGCTCTTTTGATAATGCCTAGGTCTAGCTCTTCTGCATTTACTTGGTGACAAGCAGACATGATGCATTGTAGACAGAATAGTTGATCATAACTGATAGAATCCCAGGGCTTCAGATTCTATTGTACAGCCATCTCTGCTCCTTTCCATCTTTGGAGACGAATACTAAATTCATGTCTTTTTTTTTTCTTGTTAAAATTAATGTGTTTTCGGAAAGACTCAAGTCCACATACCACATAGATATTTGTACATCCATATTGGTTTCTGTACTTGTTATAATAACTACAAATGAAACCAGCCTAGATACCCACCAATAGATGATTGGATTTTTTAAATGTGGTGCATATATGCAATGAAATTTTATGATAAAGAATCAGTTAATGGTATTCCATATAAATGCATTAACCCTGACTTAGATATAAATCAAGAATGCTGGTCTGAAAGTAGGTACAACAAATAGCTGCAGTCATTTAAAGTTTTATAAAGTAACTACAGGGCTAGAGAGATGGCTCAACAAGTAAAGGAGCTTTCAGAAAAGACTAATTACTTGAATTCAATCCCCAGAACCTGTGAGATAGAAGGAAAGAGTCAACTCTTTCATGTTGTCCTCTGATCTCCACACACACATGCCACAAACATACATGTTAATAAATAATTAAATAAGTAGTAAAACATATAGATTATTTTTATCCCATTGTTATCTATATTTCTGATTCTACTGAAAATCATCGTTTGCTGTTAGAAGTTATTTAAAAATAAAGCAAACTTTTCCTGTTTCCCATCCTCATAACACTGTTTTATTTACCTGGGGCCTGGTAAATTTCAATAGTAAGAATTAAAATTAGACTCCATGAATTTGGGATCTTGTCACTTTTACTTTTATAAATCTTTCAAGGATTTATGCCTGTTCTAGTTAGGCTTTTATTGCTGTGATAAACACCATGACCAAAACCAACTTGATGAGGAAAGAACTTATTTTAGCTTATTTTATAGTCCACCACTGTTGGCAATCCAGAACTCTAGGCACGAACCTCAAGACAGGAAATAAAGTAGAGGCCATGAAGAATTGTTCCTTAGTGGCTCCTCCCCAGAATTTGTTTAGCTTGCTTTCTTATACAACACAGAACCCATCCAGAGATGTTTGCCACCTGTAGTGGGCTGGGCCTTACCACAATAGTCACTGATCAAAGAAATATTCTATGAACTTTCTCACAATCTGGTGGGAATATTTTCCAAATTAAGGGTTCCTCTTTACCTCTTCCCAAATGATTCTATTGTGTCAAGATGGCATTTTTTTTTTTCGAGACAGGGTTTCTCTGTATATCCCCGGCTGTCCTAGAACTCACTCTGTAGACCAGGCTGGCCTCGAACTCAGAAATCCGCCTATCTCTGCCTCCCAAATGCTGGGATTAAAGGCGTGCGCCACCACCACCCGGCCAAGATGGCATTTTTGATCAGTTTTTAAGCAAGACAATACCAATCAGGGAGATTCAAGAGCCATTGGCTGATTCAAGATTCCCTTTCTGATGAACCATCAAAAGTACTATAGGAATTTTCTCACTATTTTGAAGAAATTTAGCCATAATATCTCAGCTACTCTTGTTTGGTTTGTTTTTGTTTTGTTTTGTTTTGTTTTGTTTTTGAGACAAGGCCTCATCCTGTAGCCCTGGCTGGCCTCACTACTCACTCTGGAGACTAGGCTGGCTTTGCATTCACAGAGATTTGCCTGCCTGTGGCCTCTGGAATTAAAGGCATGTATACCACACTTGGCTTCAGCTACTCATTACAAAAATCCAGTGGGATGCACAGCATTCTCTCTCCCATATTCTAGAATAAGTCACAGTCTCAGCAAGATAAATCTGTCAGAAGTAACACAGAGGATAAAAAGACAACTTCCCTCTCCCAAGAGAACGTACATACAATTGGTGGCTGAAGTTGTAATTTGTTTTATCTAGTGACAACAGAATGCTGTTTAAAAATATTTTCTTGTTTTTAAGACAATTAAAAATCATGCAATTGGATGTTTTAATGTTTGTTCCTGTAACTATTAATGTGTTCTGCCCACATTCACAGAATCAATAATTAAGCCCAATTGTTACCAATCTTCTACTTGAATGGTTATTTTAAAAAATTAAATGCTAGTGTATTTTTGCATCTTACCCAAGTTGAACACTATTTCAAGTTTTATGTTTGTGTTACTAAAAGATACTCTTCCAGAGCCTAGGCTAAGTCAATTAGTTAAAATATTTTAACTGCAAGGAGAATTATTACACAACAATTTGATTACCAAATAACACCATATATGTGTGTAATATTTATTACACAAATTATAAAAATGTTGAGTTAAATAAAATATTTTCCTTTTTAATGTCATTTTAAATGAAAATATTGTGTATTTATTCAAACAATGTATTTTATTGATTTCCCTGACTTATACACAGTTTTATACATTTTAATTACAAGTTTGAAAAGCAACTGTCTGTATTTTTAATTGCTTCCTTCACTTGTCATGAACTATTATGAAGATTTTCAGTGGCAGGAAAGGTGAATTGGATAAAGATTTGCATTTTCATAATGTAATGTCTCTTCATCAGAATAAATGAATTCTGTAATACAGCATTTATTCCTCTACAAAAGAATCTCCAAATTCTAATCTCTGATCCACATCTTATCCAACTTAACTCTGCCTCTGCTTTCAAGTTATTATTTTTTTAAATTTTTACTTCTGTGGAAGCATTAAGCCAACCCTGTAGGCTCATGTTTTCTGCTCATTTTATTTAGCAAGCATATTTTCATAACTCTCTGCCTGCCACATATGGGCTAGTTTACTAAAGATGAAAACAGAATTTGACCATGCACCAGAATGATATACTGAAGATTATCTTGCATAAAATATTTTCATAATATCTAAAAAATCATAATTATTACTGTAAAGGAAAGCAGTAAAGAAGATGACCTGGTTTGAAGACTAGTTAACAAAAACTTTCAAGAAAAGAAAATTTATGTGAGCCTCATGAATGAACCTGAGTTGAGTAGATCAGGCAAGCTAGACGTAGAAATCTCTTCATGTAAAATAAAGGACAGATGAAAAGGCTCCAGGTGTAAAGGCAGCATGAGACCTTAGTGTAGGCAAAGACGCTGCTCTTCAGGGAGCAAGGGCAAGAGACTTCTTTGGGAAAGATAAAATCATTAAGATATATGAGCAATAGAAAAAAATTCAAGGACACGAGATGTCTGTGTTCTGACAAAGGTAAGTGTTCTCAAAATAAAACATAACATATTTATCAAAATAAGACAAGCATTTGAACAATGAAACTGGGGTGGAAGTGGGGGTGGGAGAAGAAACAGATGAAATGAGCCCATTGGATTTACTCTTTCCATCATTCAGAAAAGAGTCACACTGGAGAGCTGGGTTGGAAAGAAATGGAGGAGCTGGGTGACATCAGGAAATGCCATCCTTAAAATTCAAAATGAACAAGGAATACAAGTTTAAGATAATAACTGACATAAGCTAAACACTTTTTAAACGAACCATGGGATAAGTCTCATGACATCTCGTTCTGACAAATGCACAATACAAAAAAGTAAATATAAAATAGATATGCCGTGTTAGAAAACTTACGGGGGTTAAATTATTTTCTTAAAATGGTACTAATTTAAAAATGGCAATATTGAGAGGCACATTTCAGTCCATTTGAAGCCACAATGAGATCCTAGTTTAACAAATGGTCTATGGAGTTTCTCACTGAAACAAAGACAGCAGGAAACAGTCTACAGCTGGAATGGATCATGGTTCAGTTGTGGCCATGTGCAACTAGAGGCATCTTTAAGATATCAAAGAGAATCAGTACTTGAACTTTAGAAGAAATGTATGTACTAGAGAGATAAATTGTGATATATCAATATGCATGTGAATGGAAGCAGATGAAGAAAGAAAGGGAGGAAGGAACATGGAGATGGACATTTTTAGGGCCTTGATTAATTGCCACACTGGTTAACTAAAGAAAAAAGACCGACAAAGAAAAAAAATAGAATAAAGAAAGCCAGGGAATCTCCAAATCAGACTTGAAGTATAAAGCCTGGTGCAAGGAAGATGTTTGTAAATACAAGAAAAGCCCTAGTTAACCACTCAGATATTTTTCATGAGGAACTTTTCCTGCTGATGACTATACCTGAACAGACAGGCCTTATTATATCAGCAATCTAGAGCCTAGTGACACAGGAAGGAATGGGGTCACAGGTCCATCTCCCTCTTCAGGATCTGCTTCACACTCAGAGGCCCTCAGACACCTAGGTTTTGACACCTAGGCTCACACTCAAGTCTCCTGTTCCATGAGGACTTCTCTTCTCTCCTTTCCAGTCCATCAGCAAGTTCCCACATGGTAAAGCAAATAGAAAAACTGAAACCATGAATGTTTCTCCACTAGGATTACTTGCCTTGAAAGTTCTCCCCAGACAGGCTTCATAAGTCTAGTATTTATAGACACACAACCTGTATGTTTCTCCCTAACCCTATTTCTGTCTGTCAATCTTTGTTCAAACCTCAATTTAAATGCCACCTTTAGTTTCAAACACAAAAAGATGTTTCTTCCATCCTGGGAACTCTGCGGGCCTTTGTTTCAATATCAGCTATAAACCTTAAGTATAATCTGTTTATTTTTCTGACTTTCATCACCTATTCTGGTGATAAATCTTTTCAGAGTAGATACCACATCTTATGTATTTTCTAGTAAAGTAATGAACATACATGTTAAAACATTCAGCAATAACCCAAACCTTTGAAACATCAGACACTAGCAAAATTTCCAAAAAAGAATGAAAGAGAGAAAGAAAGAAAGAAAGAAAGAAAGAAAGAAAGAAAGAAAGAAAGGAAAGAAAGAAAGAAAGAAAGAAAGAAAGAAAGAAAGAAAGAAAGAAAGAGAAAGAAGAAAAGGAAAGGAAAGTTCTTTTCTTTTACATGATCAGAATGCTGAAAACCTTGGGGGAAGTTCCTAAAAAGCATATCATTATTCTCATAGAAACCAAAGGAGTTATAAATTTATTGTTATAAAGAATTACTAAGGTCACACAGTTAACAACTCCACATTAAAACCAGAAATAAAATATTTCCATTTCTAAATCACGAACAAAATTCTGAAAGCATTTCCTAAATGAAGTAGGCTAACTCAGCACCAAACAGCCTGAGCACAATAAATCACTAATAAAAAAATAAATGCTCACTCAGAACTACAGGGGAAGTGACCTTTTTTCTCCCCTTGCAAAACCAGACAATATAACACAAAAAAAAAGAAAAATATTTCTTTTTCTTTCCCTTTTTTTCTTTTCTTTCTTTCTTTTTTTTCTTTCTTTTTTTTTTTTGGAATCATGCGTGGTAGGTAAGAACTCAAGAACAGTTTTTAAGCACCTACAGGGAATGTTTTTCAAAACATTTAAAGGAAAAGTTTCCTCTCTGTTCAGGACTTTCATGTCTAAAGAATCTAATGTCTCTCTTTAAAGAATGTATTCAAGAGAACAACCTTAGAAATGCAGAATCTTTATATAGCCCAGGTCTTCTAAAATATGCCTTGTGCAGAGCACTGGAGAAAAGTGTATTGTCCATTACCTGTCACTGAAAGCACATTAAAAAAAACACATGTAAAATTGTCACACAAGAGCCCAATAATAAATAAGAGATAGATAAAACAGTATCAGACAATTCTTGTGAGAAACACAAAGTATCTTCCTTACTGTTCTCTGCAATCCAGCCAGTGGTTCCTTTATTGAAAAAGGAATCAGCAGGCTAACAAAGACACATTACATAGAAATTAAATTATAGAATCCCCCTAGTTTACACAATCAACCCACTCCTGCCCCTCATCTTGGGACGGAATGTTTGGATTCTTCACCTTGGCAGTTCTCTGATCCTCACACCTTCCTTTCCCAGCACTCAGTCTTTCATCCAAAGATCAAGACAGAAAAGTCTGTCTCTAAGAGTAATGGAGTTATAGCTATGCAAATTAAAACTACTTACTTAGTTGAGATAAAAAATTCTCAACAGAGATCACTATACAGACTCTATAGGTTGCTGTAGCGTTGTGTTTAAGAGGTGCAGAATAATATCCCTAGAGAGTCTAAGAGTTCCAAGAGCAGCCTCAGTCTCTGCAGGCAGATTCATGGGACAATACCCTCCAGACATAGAAAGTCCCACATCTTGCTTTGGTTTGGTTTTTCCTATTTTCATCTGCAAGATGAGACCACAGCTTTATGTGGAACTGAGATGTCTAAAATTATTTAAGGTTTCCTTTTTCCCTACTATGACTTCAAGGTCTTCTGACTTTTCTTTCTGAAACTGGTATCGTGACTGTGCCCAAGTGTTTGTCTCTTGTCAGTACACTGTGAGAAAGTGAGAAAACCATGCCAGCTCTGAACACTGAACTGCCTCCCCACACTTTCCTTTTTCTCTTTCCCGACTGCCACTCTGATGAAATTTTAGAATTCTTTGAGCTGCAAATTCCTTCTTGAAAATAAAGCTGTGGGTTTGTTTTACATTTTAATTGTGATTAATGTATTCCTTTACAAAAAGACAATATATAAAAATTTAACATAGTGTCTACCTAGACCCTTTATGTCTCCCCACCCAATGCTGAGCTCAGTATTCCAATTTTATCTACCTGAAATAGGTAGATAAAATATCTCCTATTTTATCCACTCTTGTTTTGGACATTTGATCCCACAGGGTATGTATACTGGGGGACCCTGGAGCAGATGAAAATTTGTCTAGACTGTGGGCTGCAAAGCTCAGTGATACCAAGCAGTAGTTCCTGGTATGCAAAATGAGAGAAACTTCTAAAGAAAATGCAGCCCTGACACTATCATGCTCATTACCATCTGGCCTCAAACAACATTCACTGTGCAGTGAGAACAGAGGAAGCATAGTAGAGTCCACAGGTGACCTCTGAGATGACCCTTTCCTATTGAAACTGATAAGACAGATACCAATGTCAAAGAGCTGGAAAGAAGAGTCTTTTTTTAAAATTTTTTCTCAAATCATAATTCATTCACACAGGGGTATAAACACAGAAAGGCAGGATGTGGGGAAGGGAATGACACTGGAGTGTGGGTATTCAGGGGGAATACAGATATCTTCAGAACCGGGTATCGGCTGGGTGAAGGTTCAGGGGACAAGTCACTATGACTCTGCCTATGACTCGCTTGTCCTTATCTAAGTTGGTATTGTCTGCCAAGGCTACCTATTTACAAGGTCTATGACTACTCAGGCTTCTAAATTTCCACAAAAGCTGCCTGTTGATATTAGCTTATAGCCATCTGTTTTAATGTTTTTCCACTGAGACCCAAGTCTTGGTGTTTGTATACATGTATGACAGGCCTATTTCTGATTTTAGGCCTATGGCTGATTTTAGGCCTACAGTGTGTAAGCAGGGCTGCCCCTGACATCTCCTCCTTCTCTAAGTATAGAAGGGCTGTGGCAATTCTAAACTTGCAAAGGTGGGGATAGAGGCCTGACCTCCAGTATTTGAAGGGGACCTTGTAATGGCTCCAGGGAAAGAAGAGTCTATTTTGTCAGATTTCCTTTTCTAATTTTTTTCTTTCGGTTTTCCTAATGGTCCTAGGTTTTGTTCATTTTTTATTAATGTTTTAGCATAGCAAGGGAATGATTTATTCATTCTTGCATTTTGAGATTTATGTGGCACATTTGTTCCTCTTTATCATCCCTCCTACACTCCCTTCCCTCATACCCAAAGCCACAAGCTCCTGACCAACTTCCTCTCCAGCTTCTCAACGTATGTCATATTACCAACTCTCCCTTCTTTCTCCGACCTTTAAGAAAATGTTCTCTCTCATGATCTCCTTTCTAGTTTCATGTCTATGTTATGTGTATGTGTATTTGTGTGCATTTGTGTGTGTATAAGGGGGGGGGGAGAGAGAGAGAGAGAGAGAGAGAGAGAGAGAGAGAGAGAGAGAGAGGAGTGAGAAATTATACATGAGACAAAACATAGAATTTAGCTTGGTGATTCCTTGTTCTAACCACATTTCTACAAATGCTCCAATTTTATTTCAAATAAAAATTCTGCTGTGTGTATGTACACTAACACCACTTGCTCATCTATTGGTGGAAGCTAGGCTGGTTCTGTTTCATAGCTATTTTTTAAAATGTAGTAAAAGACAAACAAAACATGCAAGTATCTGGTATGATATCTTAAATTCTTCTAACATATGCCTAAGATGTGTATGTTTGAGTCATAGAGTAGGTATAATTTTAGTTTTTAAGAATGTTTCATAATAATTTCCATATTGTCTGCACCAGTTTACAATAGCATCCCAGCATCAGTTGTCATATGTTTTATGATAGCCATTCTGACTGGGGCAAAATGGAATCACAAAACAATTCTAATGGATCATTCCCCAGGATACAGATGTAAAACACTGTTTCAACTATCATTGGCCATTATTTTTTAAACTAAAGAAAAAAGTTTTAATAAAACTATAAGAATGAGGGTATTTTTAAAATGTTTGGTGACAAGTAGAGAATCTTCTGTCATGTGGAGACATTTACTTGACAAAGATGATTACTGATGGCTATATGTCCATGTCTCTTTCTTCAATTTATTTAAACCATTTTATTTACTTAGATTCCAGTCATTGCCCCTCCACCTTTGGTTCCCCCTCCCACATTTCCTCATCCCATTCCTCCTCCCCCTTGCCTTTGAGAGGGTGCTTCCTCCACCCCCAAACTCCAGGCCTCTCCCTTCCCTGGGGCCTCAAGTCTCTCTCTAAGATTAAGCGTATCTTCTCCCACTGAGGCCAGACCAGCCAGACCTCTTCAACACATGTGTCAGGGGCCTCTGACCTGCCCCTTGTATGCTCCTGGTTGGTGGCTCAGTCTCTGGAAGCTTCCTGGGGTCTAGGTTACTTGAGACTATTGGTTTTCCTATGGGGTCACTCTCCCTTTCAGCTTCTTCAGTCCTTCCCCTAATTCAACCATAGGGATTCCTGACTTTGGTCCAATGGATGGGTGTGAGTATTTTATGCCTTCTTTTAAGAACTTCCTGTTCAGCTCACAAACTTGATTCTTGATTGCACAATTGAAAAGTTAGTGTTTAACTTTGCAGTTCTTTATATATGCTATGTATCATTATCTGTCTAATATAGAGTTGGTAATAGTTTTCCATTTTATAGGCTTTCTTCATTCCGTGATAGACAGTTACTTTTAGGTGTCCTGCCCGCCATTCAGGTACTGAGATAGGCAGGCCAGAGACTGATGACCTCTGACCACTAACTTCCTCTTACAGTTCTTAAGGCCAGAAGCTGATGGCTTCTGGCAATTGACTCCTACTGATAGCAGTAGGGAATAAGAAGAGAGACTTAATTACTTGGCTCTTTCTCTTTAACTCGGGGACTTGGAGCTCATTAACTCTTCTTGAGCCAGAGAGAAAGAAAAAGGATAAAGAGAAAGTCATGTATACACACAGACACACAGACACACACAGAGACACCACATACACACATACACACACACACACACTCACACAGGCCTAGTCATTGGTTTCATCAATTTCACAAGTGCACATACAGACTTATACACATATATACGTATGTACATACATACATACATACATACATACATACATACATATTATACACATACATAAACACACACACACACTCACATGGGCCTATTCATTGGTTTCATCAATTTCACAAGTGCACATACATACTTATATACATACACATATATTATATATGTATGTACATACATACATACAGACATATACACATACATAAACACACACACACACACACACACATATATATTTGGTGGATGGAGCAGAGCCCCAACAGCCACACTTTTTTTCCTCTCAGTCTTTTTATAGCTTCTTTAACAAAAAGTTCTTTATAAAATTACCTCACAGATAAAATTACACAAAAGGGAGTTACAGGAGGATGTCGATAGTAAGTTCAAAGTAGTGTTTCATTCTAAGTCCAAAGCAACGGTTTCACATAATCTTGCTCTATCATAGTGCATAACTGGCTTCATCCTTGAACCCGACATAGAATGAATGTTTTTCATTGATCACAAATCTATCCCAAGCCTACTTTTCTTCGTAGTACAATTTATGAAAACTCCTTGTATTCCTTATTGTGTAGCCTTTACTTACTATTGTATGAGAAAGGAGGACATTCTATTCTTGATTTTAATTTTATTACATCATTCTGGCAAAACAACTAAAACCATCTCCTTAAACTTTCTTCCTAAAATTATTTTAATCAAATCAGGAATTCTATAAAGTCATTAATACTTCTAAACAGCATTAAGTCATGAGAGCTTGTCCTCACATAGGAAATTTGCCTAGTAGGGTGGGCTGATGCCCAGGAATCGTTAGGCTATGTGATAGTGGCAGGAAAGATATATCAACAGTAAGTAGCAATCTTGGGATGAAGTCTCTGGGGTCCATGTCTCTCAGAACACACCAATCACAGCCATGCAAAATGATAGGCCATCTCCAGAAAACTCATTTGCTTGCCGTAACCATTCTTACATGGCTTGTATCAGTTACTATTGCTATATTGAAGCTCCTACTTCATATTGTCTTAAAAATATAATAGCATAGACTTTATCAAAAAACTTGAAGCATTTTTCCTGATGTTCTCCTCTGTTTTAAAGTTTCAGATCTTACATTAAGACCAATGTTTCATTCTGAAATGGCTTCCATCAAGAGCATGAGATATAGACTTAGCGGTTTCTATGTGAAGAAATTCTATTTTCCATTCTTTATATGTTAAACAGCTTTCTTCAATATGTATTTTTTATACCTTTGTCAAAAATTATATAACCATAGCTATGGAAGGATATTTCTGTGTCCTCAATTCTATTTCAGTGTTTCAATCTGGTTTTGGTAGTGCTATACTATGTCTTTAATGATGGCTTTGTAATATAATTTAAAATCAAGTGTAGTAATGCCTCCAGAATTGTTTCTGTTTACAATTCCTTTGGCTCTTTGGTTATTTGATGCTTCCATATGAACCTTGGGATTGTTTT